TAGCTCTTTTTTTTCTTTTTTGAGGCATCATTTTGGGAGCGGGTTGTCCTTACATCAATGGGGCCGTGACCCCCAGAGCCGGCCAGGCGGGTTGAGCAAACAGACCAGTCAAAGGTTCACAGGAATTCACTGGATTACAGCATCAGTGGCTTGATATTTCCTCCCCGTTCACCCCACTCTCCTGCAGGAGATTTGAGGCACATTCAGGATCTGTTGCAAAGGAACCTGGCGTTTTCTGCCAAGCTGGTCTTTAAGAGTTCACAAGGAAAGGGTAGAGGTTTTGTTTCTGGGTTTCTGGGGGAAGAGGTGCAGTCGTGGGATTCAGCCGGTTCGCCACCACTTCGGGAGAAACGGTTAACTTTCTGAGGTTTTTTTTTTATTATTATTATTTATATGCCGCCCTTCTCTGGAGACTCAGGGAGACTTACAATGCGTTAAGCAATGGCCTTCATACTTTTGTATATTTTTATACAAAGTCAGCTTATTGCCCCCACAAACTGGGTCCTCATTTCATCTATCTTAGAAAGGATGGAAGGCTGAGTCAACCTTGAGCCTTGGAGAGATTCGAACCAGCAGAAATTGCAGGCAGCTGTGTTAATAACAGGGTGCACTAAACCACTGTACTATCAAGGCTCAAGGTTTGGCAAAGTGGTTGTTGGAAGAAATCATTATGGGGTATTTTAAATTTGTTCAGCCAAATTATTTAATTCGTTTTTATTTTATTTTAAATTTTTGTATTTATGTGTTTTTTTTATCTTGTGGCTGTTCATTGCCCTGAGTCCTTCGGGAGAAGGGCGGTATAGAAATTTAATAAAATAAAATAAATAAATAAATAAAATAAAATTAGGGCAGAGAACCGGTTGCTAAATTACTTGAATCCCACCACTGGAGAGCTGTACGTGTGGTTGAACTGCAAGAGTGCGGCTTTGAGAGGCCAGAAGAGAGTTGAGGGCTGCCCATTGATCTGTCAGGTTTGTTTAAGGACACCCCCTGATAGGACCACTCGCTCTTTGGAGACCTAGAAGTACAATCTTCTGGATATGAAAGAAGGCAGAGGACCCCACTTTCTCTCCCTCATCATCATGAGAAGATCGCCACAGACAAACCAGATGGGTGTCCTACACCACACTACGATGTTTCTCCCTTCCTTAATTGCCTTAGCAAAGCTGAACTTCGAGCTTTTGAAGGTGGCTCCCACAGATCCCAGGAACAAGATCAACCCTCTGTCCAGAAGAGTCCAGTGCTAGGAATCAAAATCGGAACAGAGCTGGAAGGGATCTTGGAGGTCTTCTGCTCCAGCCTCCTGCTCAAGCAGGAGATCTTGTACCATTTCAGACAAGTGGCTGTCCAGTCTCTTCTTAAAAACCTCCAGTGATGAAGCAGCCACAACTTCTGGTGGCAACTTCTGTTCCACTGATTAATTGTCCTCACTGTTAGGAAGTTTCTCCTCAATTCCAGGTTGCTTCTCTCCTCCTGGATTAGTTTCCATCCATTGTTTCATGTCCTGCCTTCTGGCACTTTTGGAAATAGGTTGACCCACCCCTCTTCTTTGGGGCAGCCCCTCAAATATTGGAACACTGCTATCGTGTCCCCCCCTCGTCCTTCTTTTCACTAGACTGGAGATATGCAATTCCTACAACCCTTGTTTTAGCCTACAAAAGAAATACTTAGCAATGCATTCCGTTTTCTGTTTCCCTCCCTCAATCCCAAAACTCTAACCGTACACCTTCCATAAGCATCGCCCACCTACCAGTAGTGGGTTTCAAAAATTTTTACTACTGGTTCTGTGGGTGTGGCTTGGTGGGCGTGGCTTGGTGGGCATGGCAGGGGAAGGATACTGTAAAATCTCCATTCCCACCCCACTCCAGGGGAAGGTTACTGCAAAATCCCCATTTCCTCCCAATCGGCTGGGACTCGGGAGGCAGAGCCAGTCAGAATTTTTACTACCGGTTCTCCGAACTACTCAAAATTTCCGCTACCGGTTCTCCAGAACTGGTCAGAACCTGCAGACCGCCACTCCCAGTCTGCTGAAATGAAAATGCTGTAGATCTTGGCCTTTAAAACCCAAAGTGCTGAGGGGAAGCTGAATCATCCCCGCGTGTCATCCGTGCCTCTGGGAAGTGGGTTTTGCTCAAAGACCGAGGCCATTAATACAGGAGCATCTCAGACAGGCATGGAGATGAGTGTGTGTGTGTGTGTGTGAGGGGAGCCCCCTTGGAAGTGGGGAAAACAGGGCTGGAGGCAACAGAGTCCTCTCTTGCGTCATGCTTCCTGACCGGGGATTCATTCATTAGCTCAATTAGTTGGAAAGAAAGGAACCCAACTACATAAACCTCTCCCTACGTTGATAATGGCTAGGTAAAGCTATCCCAAAGTCAAACTGACTCGTCCTGCACAATGCAATAAATCATGGATCATTGAATCAACAGCTACTGGCTGGATGTATCCCAACGGTGAGCCAAAACAAACAATCACACCGACTCGGGTTTTACGTGTCACGTGGATTCCTGGTGTGACTAATTGGGGCTCGTCGGATAAGCGCAATTTGCTGACTTCACACGGAATGCAAAGCTGTGATATAACATGTTCTTTTTTTAAAAAAAAAATAAAGTTTTCTACTATTACATTTAATTAGGGCTTAAGAAACATCGTGTTGTCTGGGTTATTTTGTTTGCTTGACAATTCAAATTATATTCCTCATCTTTACCCTTTTTTTCCCCAGCCATTGATAAAATAAATTCCATGTTTGATAGTATTCTGTATACAGAACACAAGAAAAAATAACATGTTTTTATAGAGGTAGATAACCAAAGGTTTACCGGAGAGAAGGATTTCCAGAAGCCTCAAAGGTCACCCTAGATATGTCCAAATCTGAGTCCCAAACTGTAATAAACTTCTACATTTAGGGAAGAAAAACCAAATGCACAGATACCGTATAGGTGGTACCTTGCTGAATAGCAGTAACTGTGAAAGGGATCTTGGAGTCCTAGTGGACAACCATTTAGATATGAGCCAGCCGGGTGCAGCAGCTGCCAAAAAAGCCAACACAGTTCTAGGCTGCATCAACAGAGGGAAAGAATCCAGATCACGTGAAGTGTTAATACCACTTTATAAGGCCTTGATAAGGCCACACTTAGAATCCTGCATCCAGTTTTGGTCGCCACGATGTTAAAAAGATGTTGAGACTCTAGAAAGAGTGCAGAGAAGAGCAACAAAGATGATTAGGGGACTGGAGGCTAAAACATATGAAGAACAGTTGCAGGAACTGGGTATGTCTAGTTTAATGAAGAGAAGGATTAGGGGAGACATGAGAGCAGTCTTCCAATATCTGAGGGGCTGCCACAAAGAAGAGGGAGTCAAGCTATTCTCCAAAGCACCTGAGGGTAGGACAAGAAGCAATGGGTGGAAACTAATCAAGGAGAGAAACAACTTAGAACTAAGGAGAAGTTTCCTGACAGCGAGAACAATTAATAAGAGGAACAACTTGCCTGCAGAAGTTGTGAATGCTCCAACACTGGAAATTTTTGAGAAGATGTTGGATAACCATTTGTCTGAAGAGGTGTAGGGTTTCCTGCCTGGGCAGGGGGTTGGACTAGAAGACCTCCAAGATCCCTTCCAACTCTGTATTCTATTCTATTCTATTCTATTCTATTCTATTCTATTCTATTCTATTCTATTCTATTCTATTCTATTCTATTCTATTCTATTCTATTCTATTCTATTCTATTCTATGATCTTATAGAAGTCATGATTAGTTTGTGGTAGGGGACCTCACATGGCCACTGTAAAAGTGAGGGTGGTAGTGGAAAGATGTGTTTTCTTACTTGCAAGATTTTGTTAATGTAACCTTAGAACAATGGTGGGGAACTATGACCTCTTTATGAGCGGTGGACTTCAACTCCCAGAATTCCTGAGCCACCCATACAGGCTCAGGAATTCTGGGAGCTGAAATCCACCGGTCATCAAGGGGCAATAGTTTCCCACTGCTGCCTTAGAATAAAAATAGAGCCATTATCCTGTCGGCATCGCAGTAACTTTTTTATTGACAAGAAATATAAACTGGGTTTTAAAATCTGGCTCAGTACAAAGCACAAACCTAGGATTCTAGCACGTTGTGTGAACTCTGCCACTTACACAGTAGTAGTTTTTCAAATTAAGTTGGACTGCTATTGTTGCCTGTCTGTTCAGACGCAGCATATTAAGCAAGGCCGACAACTTGTGTTTTGTTAACCCAGATTTTAGGTTTTTTTTAAAAATCTTGAAAGTCCAAAGCCATGCTACAAAAATCCAAATTAAAATATCAGGCAGGGGACTTCCTAGGACAAGGGCTCCTTATCCTGACTTTACCCAAGAACAGAGACCACGTCAGGCTGAAAAAGTACATAAATCAAGACTGAACATCACAAGTTCTTTATTAAGTAGGCAACTGGCGTCTGCAGATTAAGCTTTTCCAACACATATTTTAAGCTTTCTCTTGCATTCCGCAGGCTGCAAATCCTGTGGGAGAATCCAGAGAGGAAAAAGAAACGCCGATAACTCACCGGCGGCAAAAGGAAGTCCTGGATCTCTGCAGAAGCACAAGACAATTGGTCCAGGCAGCCTGTCCAAAAAAACAAACCCTTCAAGAAATCATGGTTACTTCAACGTTTAACAAACGCAAAAATAAGCGCCGCTTCACTTCGGGTGCTGCTGACATGGACACTTGGGCCGACTTCAAACAGGTCTTGTCATCGCTTTGAGGTCTCCAGGTTGCATGCTTGTGTGTGCATGTGTTTGGGTGTGTGTACACACATCCATTTGCACTTTCCAGCTTTTTCTGGAGACACCTAGCCATGACTCATGGACAGCAATGTCTTCCTCCCTCTACAGATAGGCAACTATAGACTCTTTAGGACAGTGTTTTCAACCTTGGAAGCTTGAAGATGGGTGGACTTCAACTCCCAGAATCCCCCAGCCAGCAGCGCTGGCTAGGGGATTCTGGGAGTTGAAGTCCACCCATCTTCAAGCTTCCAAGGTTGGAGAAACACTGCTTTAGGACCTGTAGACTTCAACTCCCAGAGTTCCTGAGAGTGGAAGTTCACAGGTCTTAAAGGGCCCACGGTTGTCCACCCCTGATTCACACAGACTTTCGAAACAGACGAGTATCTGTCTGTGGAGAAAGGGGTGCTGCTTTTTAACCAAAGTATTTGATTTTCTGCCTCTGCATTTGACCTATTTTTTTACACATCATTTCATTTTGATGTCTCCGGAATGTGCTCCATGTTGTTTTCCGAGGGAGTCTTGTCTGGCCCCGAGGGCTGGGTCACAGCCCAATTCCATCCGAGGATGCCCCCTCACTGTTGGCTTACTTTCCCGAGGAGCCAATTCTAACATCCTTGGAATGGGATCTGGGGATCCTAAGATCCTGATCCGCAGACATGGGTTGAAAAATCTGAAGACATAGGAGGACAGAATCTGATCACAAAATCTCTCTTCACCAAGATCCTGAAGCGATCAAGCTGGGATTGGAGAAACCCCCCCACCCCCCCCCCTCTATTGCTTGCTTCAAGAGGACTAGCTACACACTTTTCCTGACGTAACAAAAATCTGCCCAGGATGAAACATGAAGTCCCTCCTGGCTCACATTTGTTGGTTGCTGCCCAAGGGGAAATTGGAATATTTTTTTGGGGTGTGGGGGAATGCAACATGTTTCGAACGCTAAAATTATTCTGCCTCATCTCTAGGACGGGCCAAGCCGTAACCCTGCTTAATTCCCCTGCAAACGGAGCTCAGAGATGCATTGAAGGCTGGGCTTGCCTCAGATGTCACAATTCAACAACGAGAGGTCAGCTTTCTTAATGTTGGCCCCTGGCCTAGACATATTTAATTAGGGCCCCACCTTTCACCCCTGGATCCAGATATCAGCTTTGCAGAGGTTCTGTTCTAGAGGAAGAAGTGAAATAATAATAATAATAAAGTAGAAGTGCCTATTAAACCCTGAGTTTCTTTTCCTCCTGAGGCTTGGTGGGAGCACAGCTGTCAAAGAACTTCCCACCTCAAACCAGAAGCTGGTCTCGCAAGACCTCCTCCGTGTGACGCAGCTAATTTTATTTTCCCGGAGGGGCCAGAGAGGAAAACCAAGAATCGAAAGTCCTAACCAAAGAAATCCTTAATGGGTATTAACAGCTGCTAGGTTGATTGTCCAAAGAGAGCATCGCCCGAGTAAGCTTATTTTTTGCATCTTCTCTCTCTGGAGCCGGAGCCAGGCCGAGATCCGGGCGGCCCAAAGCTCCGCCTTCTTCACAGCCTTCTAATCATCGAAATCCGGGATGTCGTCGTAGGAGTAGCCCCGGTAGCCTTTGGAAGCGAAGTAGGCGATTCGCAAGTGATAGAAGCCAGGAAGGAAAACCAGGATTCCGATGATCAAGACAGGAATGGCGCGATCGGTTCCCTGGAGGACAGACAGAAGAGGAGGAGGAGGAGGAGGAGGAGGAGGAGGAGGAGGAGGAAGGTTACAGGCAGCTCAAGGCCTCGAACGCGCAGCAGTGAAGATGAACGTGGATGATGATCTCCAGGGGCTGCAGGAAGACACTAAAATACCCCACCCCCACAAAATGGAGACTGGCTCAATCTTTAAGATGGCCCCAGGGTGAAGGGGATGGACCATTCGCAGGAGATCTCCCTGTCGACTTTGGCCCAGTCCCTCCTTCTCAGCCGCATGGCCTGAGTGGTGTAATGGTGGAGAGGCTGGATGGAGAGCAGGGAGCCCCAGGTTCAAGGAACTTCCCCTCCCCACCATGCATGGAAAATCCTGGAGTGGGGGAGGGAAAGTCTAGCTAGTTTCCATTCATCTAAATCAGGGGTCTCCAACCTTGGCCGCTTGAAGACTTGTGGACTTCAATTCCCAGAGTTCCTCGGCTGAGGAACTCTGGGAACTGAAGTCCACAAGTCTTCAAGCGGCCAAGGTTGGAGACCCCTGATCTAAATGAATGTAGAAGATGGAAGGAGAGGCTGATGCTGGTCTAAGCTATGATGATCCGTTAATTAAGCATGGATGAGGCGGAAGAATCACCCAACCAGCATCCCATCCTCATGTAACAGCACCAAGTTGGGAGTCTCCAAACTTGGCAACTTTTAAGACTTGTGGACTTCAACTCCCAGAAGTCCCATGCTGGGTGGGGGAATTCTGGGAGTTGAAGTCCACAAGTCTTAAAAAAGTTTGGAGACCCCTGGATTAAGAGAACTCACACGCATCTGAGAAATTTCCAAGCCGCCACAGCCCTCCTGAATTCTGGGACCCCCAACTGAGCCCTCTGAGTTCAGACTTACCCCTTGGCTAATATATCCCGCCAGGAGGAGCGCACCAATGATGATGAGGAGGGTCCCAATCAGGAACAGCACCGTGGCCAGCGCGATTGCCTTGTAGGGAACTTTTGGGGGGCTCTTCTTGAACTAGGAGAAAAATGGGGTCAGCGCAGAACAGGCTTCCCGGCCCAGAGTCCCACGCCCTAAAGTTCTCAGCAATGAATTCTGGGAACTGTAGTCCATACACCTGAAAGGTGCCCAAGTTTGGAGCACAAAGTTTAGTTTACTTTAGTTAGTTTAGTTTATTTGATTTATATACCGCCCTACTCCCGAAGGACTCAGGGCGGTGAACAGCCAAACAATAAAATACACAGATACAAAAAAAATTTAAAAACCAGATAAAATCGAATTAAACCATTTTGGCCCAGACAAATTAAAACACCCCAATAATTTAAAAGCAGATTAAAATTTACATATTAAAAAGAGGGAAAAGTCCTTTTTAAGAGCCGTTTTTCCAGCAAAACATATAAATAACTAAATCGTTCTGAGTCTTTTTCCTTGGACGTGGGACGGGAAATAACTTTTTAAAGACGACTTTCAGCATTTGCCCGGATTCCCTCCCCGTGTTTACGAATCTCAATTCCCCCAATTCAAAGGAACGGCACAAGCCAATTGAGGGACGTTTCTGCCCCCCAAAAACCCCCCAACCCATTTAAAGCAGAGAACCAAAGGCGAGAGATATCCATGCTGGGAAGGCATTTTTCTCCGGAATGGAGCCTGCGGCAAACCAACCCAACTGAGGTGTGAACGGATATAAAATGAAGGGGTGAAGAACAGGTTAGGTGGTAAAACTGGGTGCACCAGCAATTCCTGGAGCCGTGTCAACAAATCTGGAGCGTCTGGAGGAATTTATGACAAGTTTTTATAGACATTCATGTATGTAAATCTAAATTTACGGTCATGCTGGCTTGAAGTTCACCCGTTTCATTCGGGAAAGAAAAAACAGAGACACATCAAATAAAGCACTCACCGTATTTTTCGGAGTATAAGACGCACCTACCTTTTTTGGTGAGGAAAAAGAAGAAAAAGAAATGTCCCTCTGCCTAATTTTGCCTCCTTACAGCAAACAGCCTGCTTTACTTTCAGTTTCGTTTTCAGCATAGCTTGATTAGCACAAGGGGGAAAAAAAAAAATCTGCTCCAGCAATTTACCTCCTTGCAGCAAGCAGCAGAGCCCTGAGCAAAACAGCTGAGAGTCGGGAGGCCGATCTAATCAACTTGTGCTAATTAGGCTGTGCTGAAGCTGAAAGGAGCTGTTTTTTTTCTTGCTGTTTGATTGCAAGGGGGTAACTGCTGCGAGGCACAGGCCAAAGGGTGGGGGCCAGTGGGTGGGCGGGGCTACATTCGGTGTATAAGATGCGCCTAAATTTTCACCCCCCTTTAGGGGGAAAAAGGTGCGTCTTATACTCCGAAAAATATGGTATATGCACTCAGGTTTTTCTTTTCTACCATATTTATTTCTTTTTGGGGTGGTTGGGAAGGGAGGTATGCTAACAGGGGTCTTTTTAGTGATGCTCCTTTTATTACTTTCTTTTTTCCCCCATGTTTTATTTATGTAACACTCAATTTCCATCAAACAGTGTGTATTCTGGATACAATTATATTTTGATAATATTTATACATCTTCATTATATTTAAAGATTTTTCTCTACACTCCTGCCTTAAAAGGGAAGAAGGGGCACGCATAAGAGCACCAGCGTGCCTACCGTCCCTGTCTCTACTTGTATCTATTTTATGTATTCAGTTCATGCTTATTATTACGTAAATTACCTAATACGCATTCTTGACAAATAAATAAATAAATAAAAATAAATTTAAAAAGTGCCATGACAAGGCTGCCCCCTGGTGGACATCTCTGCAAACAGATGAAAAAAACTCAGAAAAAACACCACCAGCAGGTGGAATCCAGCAGTACAGGACTCCACATCCCATCATCCTTGCCAACACCACTGCTGGGGGGGGCAGCGGAGAGAGGGGGGAGACTATCCTGTGACCACAGTTTTCCACCAAAGTTTGGGGAGGAAATATAAATCCATGGACGTGATTATTTTCCCGCCTTCCTTCATCGGTTTTCATTTGGAAGGGGACCGCGGGAAGATACTGCCAACCCTGCGAGGTAGACAGGCCAGGGAAACAACTCCGTGGGAAGGTTTAGACTACTTAGATTGAGGCTGGCTTGCACAACGGAACCTTGCAAGTGTGAATGTGCTAGCCCAGGGGGTCTGCAACCTTAAAAACACTCAAAAGAGCCATTTGGACCCGTTTCCCACAGAAAAGAAAAGACCGGGAGCCACAAAACCTGAATGGGTGTGGCCAATTCAATATCACTCACTTCCACCAGTCACATGACCTCCCCAAGCCACGCCTACCCAGCAGGTCATTAGGGCAGAGAACCGGTTGTTAAAAAACACCGGGAACCACAAAATCCTTTTGACATCTCTCTCTCTCTCCCCCCCTCCCTCCCTCCCGCTCTCTCTGTATCTCTCTGTCTCTGTCCTGGCCACTTCTCCATCCCCTGCCATTGCCCTTACCTTCTCAGGCCAGGCGAGGAGGGACCGGGAGGGGAGGGCGAGGACAGCTAGTGGTGGGCTCACCCGACAGGGAGCCACAGCCGACGGCCCAAAGAGCCACATGTGGCTCCAGAGCCGCAGGTTGCTGACCCCTGCCCCAGAGTGTGCTAGGAATCCCTTGTAATTCTTGTATCACAAAAATCGGAACAGCCACTTTGGCTTAGTGGTTCAAGTATCAGGAGAGAAAGCAGGAGATTGTGAGTTCGAGTCCCGCCTTAGACACGAAAACTCCGCTGGGTGACTTTGGGCCGATCCCTGTCTCAGCCCAACCCACCAAAACAGTGGGGAAAATAGGAAAACAGGGTGGATAAAAATCAATGATTTTTTTTAAAAAAATATTAAAAAATCAGATTTTTTTGATTTAAATCAGATTTTTTTAAAATTTAAATCGGATTTTTTTTTATTTTTATCAAATTCATTTTAATAAAATGCTTTTGGAGTAAAAAAATCTATCTAAAGATAGTTTCTATTTAAGATACATTAATAATTTAGTTTATTCAGCATGAAATGGAGCTTAGTTATGTAGCATGAGGCTGTTTTTATTCCATCAAGCCGGCCTAGCCTAAATGGTTTTTAAATTGGGATTTTAAATTTTATGGATTTGGGGGTTTTAAATTGGGAAGCTAGTGATTTAATTCTTTTTAATTATCTTAACTTTTGTATTTGTATGTTTTTTAATTTTGGCTGTTCACCACCCTGAGTCCCTTCTGGGAGAAGGGCGGAATACAAAATAAATAGATAGATAGATAGATAGATAGATAGATAGATAGATAGATAGATAGATAGATAGATAGATAAATATATTCTGCAATATTGGGACTCTCGGTGAGTCAACAGCAGGTCACAGGAGGAGCCACTGAGGGACAGAGATGGCAGTTGCTTTTTAAAAATTATGATTTAAATCGAGTTGATTTAAATCAAGCCTTTTTACTAGTGATTTAAATCATGATTTAAATCGTGATTTAAATCAACTTGATTTAAATCAACTCCACCCTGTAGGAAAATAGGAGGAGGAAGGGGGGTTGGATGATATGTTCATCGCCTTGAGTTATTTATAAAAATAACAAAGGTGGAAGAGAGATCTGGAGGGATGGAGGGAGGGATGGAGATGGATAGATAGATGGATGGATGGATGGATAGATGGATAGATAGATGATAGGTAGGCAATGCGTGGAAGAAAAGAGAATCCTTCTGTTGTTGTAGGGAAGATGTTGGGTGAAAAACTGGAAGATCCGGTTCTGTCTTAGCTGGTTGACTCTGGGACAGTCTCTTTCTATTAGCCCAACCCATGGGTAGAATTATTGTTGATGTTGTGGAGAAAACAGAAGCAGGACCATCGTGGACTCTGCTTTTGAGTTCCCCAACATAACGGTGGGATTAAAAAGACGACGACAAAATAAAATGCAGCCCTCCCTTCCTTTTACCTGCAGGTCAATGTATCCTTCATCCGTGCAAGCGAGCTTAGAATATTTCACTTTGCTGCTGGGGATGGAAGCAGCCAAATTCGTCCTGGACGGCATCTTCTTCAGCAGAAGCAACAACTCCTCACAGCTACCACCTGGATCAGAGCCATAAAAGCGGAGAGGAACCCCTGAGTACTTCAAATTTACCTTGCAAGTCCCCAGGCAAGGAAGCAAAAGGCCCTGGAAGCTACAAGGTGGAGACACGTTGAAACCCCAGAAGATTTGGGGTTTAAGGAAAATGAAATTTTGCTCCTAGGTTGGGTGGGGAGAGCTAATAATCCTCGACCTACGACGGGAACGGAGGCTGAATTGTGGCAGTTGTAAACGAGGGAGGGAGGAAAATAGCAATAGTTTTATATATACGTTTCACAGTGCTTTCCAGCCCTCTCTAAGAGGTTTACAGAGTCAGCCTCTTGCCCGCTACCATCTGGGTCCTCATTTTATCCACCTCGGAAGGACAGAAGGCTGAGTCAACCTTGAGCTGGTCAGGATCGAACTCCTGGCTGTGGGCAGAGTCAGCCTACAATACAGCATTCTAACCATTGTGCCACCATGGCAGGAAGGGAAGGGAAGGAAGGGAAGGAAGAAAGGAAGGAAGGAAGGGAGCTATAGACCACTTCACAGTGCTTTACAGCCCTCTCTTAAGCCTCTTGCCCCCAACCATCTGGGTCCTCATTTGACCCACCTCGGAAGGACGGAAGGCTGAGTCAACCTTGAGCTGGTCAGGATCGAACTTGCTGGTAGTTGACAGAATTAGCCTGCAACACTGCTTTCTAAGCACTGCGGCACCAAGAAGGAGAAAGGGAATGAGAGAGAGAGGGAGGGAGGGAAGGAAGGAAAATAGAGCCTGTAGTACAGTGGACTAAAGCACAGTTATTAACAACTGCTGCTTGAGATTACTGCAGGTTCGAATCTCGCCAGGCTCAAGGTTGACTCAGCCTTCCATCCTTTCTAAAGTAGATAAAATGAGGACCCAGATTATGGGGACAATAAACTGACTTTGTATAAATATAAAAAAGTAGGAAGGCTATTGCTTAGTGCATTGTAAGCCGCCCTGAGTCTCCGGAGAAGGGCGGCATATAAATTAAAGCCAAAAAAAAAATAGCAATAGCCCTTAGACTTATCTAGCGCTTCCCAGTGCTTCGCAGCCCCCTCTAAGGGGTTTCCAGAGCCAGCCTCGGGGTCCTCCTCCTCCTCCTTTGACCCACCTTGGAGGGATGTCAGCCCCTTTAAAGAAGCCTGGACTTCAACTCCCAGGATTCCCCAGCCAGGCGGGGGAGGGGTGTGTGCGTATGCCAGGCGGCCGGAGAGCTCTGGGAGTTGAAGTCCGGCCCTCTGCCCACTGGACCAAACAGGGAGGGGCCGGCAGCCAATGTTGGAGCCTTGGTAGTACAGTGGTTTAAAGCACCCTGTTATTAAGACCAGCTGCCTGCAATTACTGCAAGTTCAAATCTCGCCAAGACTCAAGGTCGACTCAGCCTTCCATCCTTTCTAAGGTAGGTGAAATGAGGACCCAGTTTGTGGGGGCAATAAGCTGACTTTGTATAAAAATATACAAAAGGATGAAGGCTATTGCTTAGCGCATTGTAAGCCGCCCTGAGTCTCCGGAGAAGGGCGGCATATAAATTAAAGCAAAAAAAAATTAATAATGTTGGTTTAGTTGCATTAAATGAGGATTCAAATATGAAAAATAAATAAATAAATAAAATAAATTCGGGGTTTAAGGGGCCGGTCTCCCCTCCAGCCTCCTCCTTCTCCCGCCTCCTCAGCCACCCGGTCCCACGGCTCTCCGGTGGGGCGGTGGGTGCAACGGGGGTCGCTTCCCTCTCCCACCCGCCCGCCCCCCCGCCTCCCCGCCTACCTTGGGGGCCGAGCCATGGCAGTCTGGGCTGCCCAGGAAGTCGACGGTGCCTCTCCCCGGAGCCGCTTCCAGGTCGCCGAGCAGCTGCGCCGCCCACGGGCGGGTCCTGCGGAGGGAAGCCGGCCTCTTTCCTGCCGCCTTTGCCCCGCTTGAGCCCCCGGAGGAGGCCGGGCTGGTGCAAAAAGGCAGCCAAGCAACCAACCAGCCCACCGCTCGCTCGAGCTGCAATGCTAACCGTGGAAAGCGCGTGCAAGAGCTACGCGCCTTCCGCCGCTTCTGCGCGCGCCCCGCGGATTTGCGCCCTGAATTGCCTCCCCTCCCTGCGCGCCTCTTCGCTTTGGAAGCCGGCAACGAAGCGCGCAGGCAGTCCTCGCTTTGCAAGGCTTCGTTTCAGAGTTACGGCGGCCCTGGAAGAAAAAAAAAAATCTGCCCCTTTTGCACAGGACCCAATCATCACCAGTAGAAATATTAGAACAGGGGCCATTTTAAACTGGAAAGCCCAATTATTCGGGAGGTTGGAGCATAAAACTGCTGCTCCTGCGGCTTCAAGGGGGCAGGAGGGAGCCTCCCCTGAGCTGCCCAAATAAAGCCTCCCTGAGAATTCATTCCCTTTGTAGAGATGCAGGTGGGAGGCCTTGGTCCACTTTTGCTGGACTGGTCAAATATTGTCCCAGTAAGTAGGGTAGAACGCAACAATCCAACCACACTCAAGAAGTTTGAGTATTTTCTAGCCACAATTTTAAAATGTTGTTGAGGCGAAACAGGATTCTGACACTTTTTCAGTTCGTCCTAAAACAAAATGGGTGGGGAAAAAACCCCACCCTGAGCACAGAGACCCCCGAGACTTGAAGGAGAGTTGGATTTTAGTAGGCAACTCAAGTGGGAAAACTTAAGACAAACATCTTAAGAAGTTGCGTTCCCAAAGATGCAATAGAGTTGCGTGTCTGGTTATTTTCCTTGGCTTGAGAAATAGACCCAATTTTTTAAAGAAAGCCAACGTGTGAATTATTTTCCCCAAATATCCCTGGATTCTCAGTCCTCCAAGTCAAGTTTGCCTTTTTCAAGAGGCAGCTTTCTTAACTTTGGGCTATTTCCCCGTAAGAATTTACTGATCCAATTTAGATGCTCTCCACCTCCTCCGTCCATTCAGAGCTGCCTCTAGCAAAGAATCCTAAATCTGAGCTTCTAGTGTCGTATTTACGGTAATCCTTGACAATATCCTGCCTACCATCAATTACTTTGCTAAATAATTTCATATCCTAGGGAATTATTATTTTTTTGCTGGTTCCATATTGAGTCTTTAATCTGATCATGGTTAAAATTTGCTAAATTCCACAAAGTGTAAAAAATGCCAATTCTCCAATCAGCACCGTAATTCCATCTCAACTGGCCGATGGGTTTTTAAATCCCCCTTTTACCCTAAAAAAGCAGCAAAGCCAACTCCTCCCATCTCCAGTCATTAAAAACATGTTTTACCAGAAAAGGTTTATTTCTTCTTCCAGTTTTATTCCTTCCTTGCCAGGGATTTAATTGATGCTTTATCCTTCTATACACTCCAATGGTCCCCACAAGGCATTTCGGTTGTGCAAAGAAAAACAATGGACTACATTTCTCTCAGTGCCCCCCCCCCAAAGGAAAAAGGGAAGGACAAATCACTCCCAGGAATCTTGTCAAGAAAACTGCATGGACTCTGCAAGAGTCAATATTTACTGATTATTTCCAAACATCATGTGTAGCTGAATGCATCTAATTACTCCTTGGCCATCTTGACTAAAATGCTTCTTCAAAACCTGCAGTCTAAGGTTTTATATTCCGAAACTTGGCAATTTTATTAAACATTCAGGCAAAAATTAAGCAATCACCTAAAATTGAAATACGGTGGGGAAGGAAAATCTATCCACAGGAGAAATGAACAATACAAGCAGGATCCAAGACATTGGGCAGTAATGATAAAACGGTCATGAGGCAAAATAAAAAATGAAGTATTCTTTATTGAAAAGTTTTCAGTTTCGATTAGAACATTTTTTCCCCCCCTCCAAACATTTCTTTTTGCAGCCGTTAGCATCCCTGTTTCAACTGATAGGGTGAAAAATATTGCAAAATTCTGCTTCTCGTGCAGGGTCATTATGGACAGATAGCATCTAAAGGTCACAGGCTTTCCACACACAGAAGTTATTCGTTTTTAAATACCGCGTTCATTTTCATACGAAAAGGATTTTAAAAGCTGAACAATAAAAAAAAAAAAAAGCTTCTACAAGTATTTTAGGTACTCACATAATAAAAAGGAGAAGTATTTACACGGAAATATCTACAAGAGGGTCTAAGTGCATCTGGTGCACCAAGACAGAGTAACTGAAAGGGACACTGGGCTACCAGCCTTCACAAAATCACATTTCCCCCCGCCTTAATTTCTTATGATTCTTCTTGGTCTTCAATCTTTGGGGCCAAATAATATTTCAAATGTCCCATGTCTGCTATCTTGTATTCCACAACTGCAAGGAGACAAAAAGAGCCAAGGAAAACAGTTAATGGCCAGCCTGAAGCCATCAATCAAATCAATGAAAATGGCCTTTGGTGCCATTTCTGCAATATGCCACTCACCTAAGGGAACATCCGCAGACATACTGAGTATCACTGTAGGGGACAAAGGTGTAGCTTTGGTGAAGAAATTCAAATATCTCAAAGCAAAAGTCAGCTGGACAGGTTCGTTCATCTCTATTGATACCTGCAAAAAATGAATGAAGATTAAAGAACGGAGAGGAGAGAGGAGAGAGAGAGAGAGAGAGAGGAGAGAGAGGAGAGAGAGAGAGAGAGAGAGGGAGACAGCAATGGTAGAGAGTTTAAGCTTCCTCAGGGCCTACTTACGGCTTCCTCCTCTTTATCGACGACGCTCGTTTGTGAGAGCTTGACGTTTCCACTCCCAAGTTCTCCCGTGGCAGAAAACTTGACACCGTCTTTTGTGCAGGAGATTACAACAGCGTCTCCAATCTGACTGAGGTCGCGGCAGATACGTGCAAATTCAGCCGAGGGCATTTTCACCACGCAGCTGTATTCTTGTTCCTGAAAGATCATATAAGCTTTAGGAATTGTAGGACTCGTTTAGGCCAGGGGTCAGCAACCTGCGGCTCTGGAGTCACATGTGGCTCTTTCACACCCCTCTGCTGCGGCTCCCTGTCACTCAAAATATGCGTCACAACCGCCAATGTGCGACATCTGCTGGCACACGATTTATTGAGTTTTTCAACCCCCGGTAGGCCAACCATGGATAAATCCAAGAAAAGTCAAGTCTCAGAAGAAAACAGAACGTTTAATTCAACTGCATATGCTAGTTTTGTGGCCGCTCAAGAAATAGTCAGGCACAGGAAGGGTTTTGTGGCTCCGGGTGTTTTCTGTGGGAAACAGGTCCAAATGGCTCTTTTGAGTGTTTAAGGTTGCAGACCCCTGGTTTAGGCTAAAGTCACCACCTGGTTTGTTTCATTTCTCACAGGACAGAAACCAGTAGGGCCAGTAAAACAGATGCAAATCAACTGAACATTTTTTTAAAAAATTAACGCGAGAAGCAAATGTTTATTTTTGCAACAGTTTTACAGCTACTCCCCGACTGGTGATCACCTTTTGCAACCTTCTGATAAAGCAAAGACATTGGGCAAGCCAGATTTCACTTGTTCATAACACAACTGTTACTAACACTTGAGGACTACATGTATTTTACCGTTGCATTTTTTTTAAAATTTGATTTATATGCCGCCCTTCTCCGGAGACTCAGGGCGGCTTACAATGCGTTAAGCATTTTCTAATGGGTTCAAGCATAGGATTAAAAAATGTTAAGAATTTTAGGAGTTACGTATTAATCAGACTCCCGCTTCCAAACTATAATACAAATCTGCAACACAAAACATTTTAACATTTGTTTTTAATGTCCTCCCCATTAAGAACAGATGCCGTTCAAACTGCCTGTATAGGTATAGCCCCTACATAACAGTAACCTGTTCAAGTATCCATATGAAGTCATGAAGGCTCTCTACGTATGTCGAGTCCCTTAAGTTATGGCCATTGCAGGAACCCCAGCTACATAATCAAAATCTGAGTGCTTAGCAGCCTGCCCACATTTAGGACCATAGGATAGATTGCAACTCCTTCCTCCCTGTCTGCCCTTTTGTCCACCCTGCTGCCTCGCAAAGGGTCAAGGTTGGGCACACCTCATCAGCAGTGGGAAGAAGACAGGTCGTCGTCACCTGTGGGGGTTGCAGGGAGGTGGAGTTGAAAAGAAGGCAACAGGACAGGAGAAGCACGAGATCCTGGCTTGACATTACTCAGGACTCTGTAGGCAACTGCTGTTGCCAAGTGAGTGGTGCACATATTTCACCTAGAGACTGAAATTCTGATCTTAATTAGGATCATTAAGCAAGGACTACGTATATCAAAATGGCAAAATAGAACATTAGCAAGCATAGTAATTATTTTTTAATCGTTGCAGCTGCCCTAGATTCAGTCAAAAGACAGCAAACAAGCCAGTCTTTAACCATCCAGGATAGCGCTTACATTTAACGAATTCATTAATAGTACCTTTGAGGTAAAAACTCACTTACTGGAATTCCAAGCTGTTCTACGTCCAAATCCATCAATTTCATTTCATAGTCTGAAACCTTCTCCTGATCTGTTAAAAAAAAACAACTATATAATTAACATTCTTTACCAGAACAAAATAATTTCCTAACTCAATACTGTTTACTAGCCATAAAACTGCAAAGCTATTTGAGTACGTATCAAATAAAAGACGGCAACAAAACCACGGAGTCTTTGATCTGGTTCTTGGCAACCTGTTCGCACTTAGAACCAGCTGCCAAATTCTCTGTACTCCTGTGAAAGTCAGTGGGGAAGCTGGCAGGGAAAGTTGCTCGCTCCCGTCTGCCAGATTGCAGAGGAAAAGGGGCTCATTGCCAAGAGGAAGGTAACTCCTCCAAAACGGAAGGTTGAACCTTTGGGATTGAAGGTGTTTTGGCAGCTCACTGCAGCTGTTCCCTTCTGCACAGGGAGGGGAGGGGAAATCCCGCAGCGGCCTGTAGAAACAAAGTGTGAATCCCAAAGATCCAAGCTTTGTTTCTGCAACCTGATGGAGATCCTTCTGTGCAGGGAGGGAGGGGGAAGCTGCCTGGCCTCCTGCTGCAGGCAGCTTTTGTGCTCCAGTTGCTTAATGACTGGAAGAACTGGGAATGTGGTTGCTTAACCAAGCAACCAAGTCAAGGGTTACCCGTAGATTGAAAATGTTGCAAACAAATCTTCATATACAGCTTCTGGTTAGGATTACATTTAAAAACGTTCTGACATCAGAATTTATCTTACCCCTTTCTAGTCTCACAAATGAACACCTACTCCCAAGAAAAGACAAGATTTAATAATTCATTTAAAACTTACTTGGTGTTTCAAATACCAAAACCAGTGTGTCAGCATTGTCTTCAGCTCTCAGGGTGATGATGTCATCATTACCAGCACACTTGAGCACTTTGGACATACTAGGAAAGAAAAAGAAATGCACATCTCATTATTTTGATATACTGCATTATTTGGACAATACACAACATGAGACACATTGAACAAGTCAGTGCAAGCCAATAGGCTCAGTAGGCTGTTGTCCCGAGGGAAAGCAAAGAGAAACTGTGGGTCAAAATTCATTTGTAAAAAAGCTTCCAGAGAACAAATCCTGTCAACTTCCTCTGTAGATTTATTTTCACATAAACTGTGATCTTGCAAGATCCAGCCATGAGCGGTGTGTATGGGTTTTTTAACGTCTTTTATTGTATATTGTTCATATTGTCTTTGTTGTAAGCCGCTCAGAGTCCTCGGAGAGTTGGGCGGCATAGAAATACAAATAATAAATCAACCAAGCAGCAACCTTTCTGTACACAAAGTGGGGTTAGAAAACAGGCTTCCTTGCCTGCTTGGACCCACAAGCCACACAAGCAATTCTGTTACTTTTTTGGAAACACACAACAGCATTTTGTGTTGGTTTGGGTGCTCTTTATCAAGGCTTACCAGATGTCCAACAATAACCTCACGCCCATGATCCAGCAGGTATTACTTTAAAATCGAACAACAGCCTAGATTTACACAATTTTATTTCCTGATCCAAAAATTGGTTTTGATCCAGCCCCTTCCCCCTATCTATGATTAACTGTGGTCAGAAGCTCAACATACCTTCTAGGGGGAAATTTAGAAAGCACATCATTGACATTTTGGTATTATCATTGGGATACATTCTGGAAAGTAAACCATTTTTTTGATGCTGGAAAAAATATATTGGGGGGGTGTTTCATTTTTTTTTGCATTTTCACTAATTTTTGTTGTGGATGCCTATGGGATTAAAGTGTTAAGATATCTCAACTGGGAAAGGAGGGCCCCTCTAGCAACCCTGTGTGTGTTTGTGCAGGGATTGCAATAAACTTGCAATAGGTCGCCCTTTTTTCTGAAAAAACACAGGAGATTTGGAAAGGCCAAAGTTCCAGCTGCAAAAAAAAAGGCCAGGGAAATCCTAGCAAGGGGCTCCCCATGCCTTCTTGCGCTTGGGAGTCCCAAAGGGCTGCTTCCAAGAAAGGAAACCCGGCTGGGCAGGATGAGCATCGGCCACAGTGGCCAAAAGAGGGACGCCTCCCTTCCCCTTTTGCAAATGGCAAAAAGCCGCCATGCTTCCTCGCAGGGCCCCTTGCAAAAATCCCGCGCCAAAAAGCCAAGCCACGCCCCGAAGGAGAGGGCGACCAATCAGGCGGGAGCGCGGAACCCAGCGCAGCCAATCCCCTTCCAGAACTAGAGCGCGAGCGCGCGAAGCCCGCTTTTGACACTCCGCGGCCCCGCCTCCGGCGCTTCCCGCCAATGGCGCGCCGGGGGTGACGTCACAAGAGGCGCGACCGGCGCAGTAATGGTTCCCGCCTTTCTGTGCGTCTGAGGAGAATTCGCGCCTTGGTCGACTTCTGCTCTCTCCTTTCCCCTCCCCCCTCTTCTTCCATCCACCGCGCGCTCGCTCGGCCGCTACCTGACGAGATTGACGCCCATGGCGATGTTGCGGTCGCAGCGGTAGGTGTCGAAGCCCTCGGAGCGCATAGTGAGCTGCACAAGCGAGACGTGCGAGGAGTCCATGCTCTGCAGGCTGATGCCGCCCGAGCCCAGGTCCCAGCAGGCCTCGGTGATCAGGTCCTTGAGAGCCTCCAGGACCTTCTTCAGCAGCGAGCCCTGAATCAGCCGCGCCTCAAACATCCTGTCGGCGAGAGCGGGAAACTTTTCGCGCGAACCGGCTTGCCCGCGCCTTTTTATAGAGCTGAGAGACCGACGCCACGCCCCCTGGCCGATGAACTTTGACTGCGCCTGCGCGCCGGACACGTCACCTTTGGCTTCGGCCCCGAAGAGGCTGTCCTCAACGTAGAACCAATCAAAATGGGAGTTCGTTGTTGTCTCCGCCCCTCGCGGATCTGCTGACCAATCAGAATGCAGGGAAAGACCCGTGCTTTGCTCCCAGTTTCTGGAAGAGGCTTTGCCCGGACTTGTTCGCCTGGGCTGCAGAGGCAGCTTCCTTCTCCAACCGGGCGCCCTCCGTATTTGATGGGAAAGAGCCCCCCATTAACCTCCCCAAACACGACAAGAGGCCGCAAGCAGGAATCTGCGGACATTTCTTCCCCAGAACAGAATTTTCATCTCTCCCCATTTATTTTGTACTCATTTCATGTGCTCATGTCCTGAATCTTCGGAGAAAGGCGGCATATAAATTGAACTAATAAATAAATTTACATTTATGTAAATTTTTTCATGTCCATTTTTATACTTATACCTGTTACCTTGTACATGTTTTGACAAACTAAATAAATAAAATAAAATAAAAATAAATCTGCTGGATGGCCTTCGGCTGGGGATGATGGGAATTGAAATCCAATTTGGGAAAAAAAACCTGCAAACTGCGGTTGGCGGAGATGTGGCCAGGCTGACTTGTGGCGTTGTTCGTTTTACTAATGAATAAACAAATTTCCCCACTGATTTTTCTCCCTGCAACCTTCCCACAAAGACACTCAATGGGGAAGCCAGCGGGAAGTCAACACTTGTTCTAAAAGGATGCAAATGATCAGCTGTCTGCAAGGGGTACAAATCCTTCCATTCCCCACCATCATCCACCATCATCCAGCTAGAGCCGAAGAAGCATCTTGGATGAGAAGCGAAATGTCTTCAAAAGAAAAAAACAAAGTCCAGCTGCCTCTTGAAAGAAAGCACCTTTGGGACAGCAGAAATGGTGCTTCTCCAAGATGCGAATTTCCCTCTGGGCAAAATACCTTTCCAATTGCTGCAAGGTGTGAATCTCAACAGGTTAAGGAAGGGTTTCTTTTGGGAACAACACAAGGATGTGAACTGACAATTCTGATTTACACTGTACTGGGGAGACCACATTTGTAATACTGCGTCCATTTCTGGTCACTCCAATCCAAATAGATGCTGAGACTCTACAATGAGTGCAGAAAAGAGCAACAATAGTCCTTAGACTTATATACCACTTTACACGGCCCTCTCTAAGTGGTTTACAGAGTCAGCCTATTGCCCCCAACAATCTGGGTCCTCATTTTACCAACCATGGCTGGGGGATTCTGGGAGTTGAAGTCCACCCATCTTCAAGCTTCCAAGGTTGAGAAACACTGTTTTAGAGGGATGTTGAAGCCCTTGGAGGTTTCTCTGTATCCTCAGGGTCCCCCGAGTGGTGCTAATGCTTCCTGTAGTCTGCAATATTTTCCCCCCTCTAGAAATCCGTTCATACTCCCAAACCATTTGAATGGAATTGGATAGCTAAAAGTCTATGGAGATTCTCAGCTATTCAGGTCATGGTTTTTTTCTTGGAAGACGTTTCGCTTCTCCTCAAGAAGCTTCTTCAGCTCTGACTGGATGGCGGGGAACAGAAGGATTTATATTCCTTGCAGACAGCTGGTCATTTAATCCCCGACCTCCGAACCTTCGGCTGGGCCTTGAAGATCTGGCTCTTCCAACGGGCAGGCCTGGGTTGATTCTATACTGACTTTGTAGCTTTTTATATTCTTCAATCTTAAATCTGAATGGTTATTCCCACGTTTAACTTTATTTATTGGATACTCTGTTTTAATTTGTCTTTTAACTTTTGTCTTTTCCGTTTCTTATTGTTGTGAGCCGCCCTGAGTCCTTTGGGAGAAGGGCGGCATATAAATCCAATAAATAAATAAATAAATAATAAACAAACTTGCATCCTTTGAGAGGATTCACTTGGAGGTTTCTCAGGAACCTGAGTGGCGTAGGAGGCTAATGCCTCCTACTAAGGCAGCATTTAACATCCAGCTGCCTGCAATTACTGCGAGTTCAATTCTCCCCAGGCTCAAGGTCGACTCAGCCTTCCATCCTTTCTAAGGTGGGTAAAATGAGGACCCGGTTTGTGGGGGCAATAAGCTGACTTTGTATAAAAATATACAAAAGTGTGAAGGCTATTGCTTAATGCATTGTAAGCTGCCCTGAGTCTCCGGAGAAGGGTGGCATATAAAAATAAAATAAATTAAATAAAATAAAATAAAATAAAAATAAATTAAATTAAATTAAATTAAATTAATTAAATAAATTAAATTAAATTAAATTAAATTAAATTAAATTAAATTAAATTAAAATAAAATTAATAAATAAATGTGTCCACAGGACAGCTGATGACCGAGAATCTCCATAGGGTAGCTTCTGCTGACCTGATTCGAGATAAAAGGCCAGAGGGCGGCTGGATTCCCACGAGGCCTTGACCCAGGAGCGCTCCGGCCCCCTCGCTTCCCCTAAGCAACCCCCACCGGGGTTGGCAACCCTCCTGCCTCCCCCCGAAGCCCCCCGGGCGCCTCGTTGCAGCTGCTTCCATTCCTGCGCTGCAAAAAAAAAAAAAGGCTGCCAGTTGCGGGCCCCGCCCCTCTCGGTCGATCCGCGCCGGGATTGGCTCCTTCGCCTCTTAAGTCCCGCCCAGATTCCCGGGCTCGGCTGTCACTCTGGGCGGAGCTCCTGCTTTCGCTGCTTTTGCTGCTGCTGCTGCTTCGTCGTGCAAAGCCGAAGCGGCGGCCCAGGATGAGCGACCTCAGGCAACGGCTGGCCCGGGAGCCCGAAGGGCAGCACGACGCCGAGGGGAAGGTAGGCGAGGCGGCCGCATTGAAGGCGAGCAGGGACCGAAAGCGGCCGGGAAACGTCTGTATGCGGTGACGCGTGTTTGGCGTCTGGGGCAAAAAGGGGAGGGGGTTTCCCAGGGCGGAGGGGATCGGGGGTCCCTCCCTTAATGGGATTGCAAGGAGAAGGGCTTGCAATGCAGCCCCCCAGCCACCCCCGGAGCTCGTGCAAGGCGAGGCGGCTTGCAAAGAGTCCCCCCACCCCCAGCCTTTCGCAGCCCCGGGCCGGAAGAGCGGCGGCTCCGGCTCTTAAAGCCGCAGCGCTTCGGGGCTCCTTCTCGGCTGGGAAGGGGTGCGTGGGCTGAGTTTGGGGAATGCAACCCGCGGGGCTTTCCTGGAGGGGCGTAAACGGGAGATGTCAGCAGGATGCTAAACCGCCTCTTCCCATCAACCCACCAAGTCCGTCCATCGGATTAAATGGAGCTGGGAGGGACCCTTGGAGGTCTTCTAGTCCAGCCCTCTGCTTAGGTAGGAGACCTATATAGCATTTCAGATCAAGATCCTGCGCCGTTTCCAACAAGGGAGGAAAAGCAACTATTTAAGATTGCTTTTTAAGCATTGTGGCAGCCCACCAAGAAGAGGAGGTCCACCTATTCTCCAAAGCACCTGCAGGCAGGACAAGAAGCAACGGGTGGAAACTCATCAAGGAGGGAAGCAACTTACAACTAAGGAGGAATTTCCTGACAATGAAAACCATTAACCGGTGGAACAGCTTGCCACCAGAAATCGTGGGTGCCCCACCATCACTGGAGGTTTTTAAGAAGAAACTGCACAGCCACTTATCTGAAATGGTATAAGATCTCCTGCTTAAGCAGGGGGCTGGACTGGAGGACCTCCAAGGTCCCTTCCAGCTTTATTCTATTCTAACTGCACCCAGCGGCTCCACAAAGCCCGAGAATGCAGGGCTGGGCTGCTTTCCTTTCCATGGCGTTGTGCCGCAGGTGTGCCACCCAGCGTAAAGCTGCTCTATTTGGAAACTTACTTGATCGGGCCGTTGGAGGTCAGGTTTAAGTTTTTGGCCAACCGTTGCAGCATCTGCTTCCAATCTGGCCCGGTTTTAGTCAAGGGTGAAATCCAGCAGGTTCTGACAGGTTCTGGCGAACCGGTAGCGGAAATTATGAGCAGAACCGGCAAATATCACCTCTGGCTGTCCCCAGAGTGGGGAGGGAATGGAGATTTTGCAATATCCTTTCCCCAGGAGTGGGGAGGGAATGGGGATTTTGCAGTATCCTTTCCCCAGGAGTGGGGAGGGAATGGGGATTTTGCAGTATCTTTCCCCTGCCACGCCCACCAAGCCACACCCACAGAACCAGTAGTAAAAAAAAAAATTGGATTTCACTGCTGGTTTTAGTGCGAGCAGGAAGTTCATCAGTCATCAGAACTCTCACCCGGTTCTGACAATTGTCTATAGTATTTCTCCGTCTGACTCGCTTTAAACTCTGTGCTCCCAATCTACTACTTGATGTCTATACAGATTCTCAGTCATCGAGGTCATGGTTCTCCCAAAAGTGCTTTTTCAAGCGGCAACTTGGTTTTTCACTTTTGGAAGATGTTTCGCTTCTCATCCATTCAGAGCTGAAGAAGCTTCTCGGATGGGAAGCGAAAGGTCTTCAAAGGAACACCAGAAAGTCCAGGAGCCTCTTGGAAAAAAGCACCTTTAGGTCTGCTGCTTGATGGTAAGGCCTCCCTAACACGTCGAATGCCCTCCAGCCAAACTTCTCCACCCACCGCAGCTGTTGATGAGAAATCTGAGTATTGAGGTCCACCCAACTGGAAAAAATGCATTGAGAAAGGTTGAACGAAGCTGATCCTTTGTGGTGCGAGAGAACAGTGGAACAGTACTTAATCCCCTGTCACTGCTGATTGAAGCTTTGATGCTAGGGGTTGACATGATAGCAGTGTTCCAGTATCAAAGGGGCTGCCCCAAAGAAGAGGGAGTCAAGCTATTCTCCAAAGCACCAGAGGGTAGGACACGAAGCAACGGATGGAAACTAATCAAGGAGAGAAACAACCTGGAATTAAGGAGAAATTTCTGACAGTGAGAACAATTAATCAGTGGAACGACTTGCCTCCAGAAGTTGTAAATGCTCCAACACTGGAAGTTTTTAAGAAGATGTTGGATAACCATTTGTCTGAAGTGGTGTAGGGTTTCCTGCCTAAGCAGGGGGTCAGACTAGAAGACTTCTGAGTTCCCTCCCAGCTCTGTTATTCTGTTATATGAGTAGATAGTTTCTAACATTTGGTATTTGGTTCGCAGAAGCATTGAAGGTAAAAGTTTCCCCTTTTTAGTGGCTCAAGGTTGACGCAGCCTTCCATCCTTTCGAGGATGGAAATAAATAAATAAACCAGGTTTTTACAACAACGGCTGTTAATTAACTGCATTAAGAGCCGCCAAGAATTCAAAGAATAATAGCTGAAAGCTTACTGTGGTTGCCAGAATGCCCAGGAGCAATTTGCAGGAAGCTGATAAGATAAGCAAGACAAGACACGACGGTATGTGAACGAAGTTGTTCCCTGCAAATTGCTTCAGTCGGCGTTCCTCCTTAAATAGGCTAAGGGAGTGGCCAATTAGCCCCAAGCCTTACTCTCGAGGAGACCTCCTCCTGAGGAGCCACTCCTGCCTTTTGGCAGCTCTGCGCGCCCGTGTATCGAGAAGAGGCTCCTCCTCTTCTTCCTCTTCACTTATGGGAGCTTCTGGAGGTTCTGAAGGCCCTGGCTGAATCCCTGCCTCTGGCACCACATCTTCTCCAGCCTCCTCACTGTCCGACTCGAGTGCCAGCTGCACAGGCTGCTGGCGCAGCACCACACCAGCCTCCTCGCTGTCGGAATCAGCTACTAGCTACACAGGCCGCTGACGGGCCACAACACCCAGCAAGGGCGCCTGGGACTTGCTTAGGTCATTTCCACACATTTCCAAGCTCAGGGCTTAAAAAGCTCCGTTCAATACCAAGTGCCAGTAATGCTTGGGGTGACGATGAAGCACCCTGGGATGGTTCAGAAGAGAAAAGTGCTTAAGTGGGCATCTGTCGTCCTCCTCCTGCACTTTTGCTAAGTGTTATGACTCAGATGAAGGAGAATGTTTGCAGCTCAAGAGTTGAAATGAGGTGTTCTCTGAGCTTGGTTGTTTTCTTACAAGACGTTTCATGACCTAACAAGGTTTCCTTCTCAGTGCTGCTAAGAGTGTGGGGTTTGCTCTCAGTTTATATTCTAGTGGCTTGCTGCTTCAGTGTTGGTTGGAGTGGTCTTGCTGGTTTTGTGGTTGCTCCATTTCACTCCCCTGCTTCAAGCAACGACGGCAAATAATCTTTCAGTCCTGCATTGTGTTACTTATTGATTTAATAAGATCAGGGCATCTAGATTAAATGCAATATCTGGATGCAATCGAGATATTTATTTAAGAAGGTCAGCAACTCAGGGCATCACTTGCAAGCAATGATCTTTGTCTCTCTCTCTCTCTCTCTCTCTCCATCCATCCATCCATCCATCCATCATCTATAATCTATCTGTATCATCTCTCCTCCCCCCCCTCTCTATATAGAGAGACTGTCTTTATCTATCTCCTATCTCCAGGGGTGGGCTTCAAAAATTTTAGCAAGGGATTCTCTGCCCAGTTGCTGGATGGGCGTGGCCATGGTGGGTGTGGCCTGGTTGGTTTCCTGCACCACTGTGCAGGGGGGGGGGCGTTTTTGCCCTCCCCGGGCTCCGGAGGCTTTTCTTGAGCCTCTGGGAGGGTTAAAAACGGCCTCCCCAGGCTCCGGAGGCCCTCTGTAGGCTTTTCCAAACTTCTGGTAGGCCTGTTTTTTGCTCTCCCTGAGCCTCCGCGCGCGCCCTGCACTTACGTCGCATCCGAAATTGGCCACATGTGGACTCCTGGGAGGGGAGGAGCAGGGTGGGCCAGATCAGCCAGGAGTGGGATTTGGGGGTTCTCCGAACTGCACAGAATCTTAGCTAGAGGTTCTTCTGAACCCCTGTGAACCCCTCTCTCTTTCTCTCTCTCTCTCTCTCTCTCTCTCTCTCTCTCTCTCTCTCTCTCTCTCTCTCTCTCTCTCTCGTGTCCACATTCTTGGTTTCTGTGCTTTACTCCTGGGGGGAGCCTCCATTCCCCCTGTGGTCTGGGGTCTGCAGTATCCCAGAAGGAATCTGTTTCTTTGGATTCTGCTTCCCGTAAGTGCCAGAAAGGGCAGCTTATTATTAGTTTTTTTGTTTTTTAAATTCAAGATGGAAAATGCTTGTCTTAGAAACAAGGAAGCCAAGAAAAGGAAATACGTGCAATTCAGAAAGAAGGCTGAGGATGGGATAAAGCTGAGTGGCGACAGATTGGCAGCTAAGTACTAGGTTGGAATAGTTGAAAAGGAAGAATCGGATTTCAGGGCAGGAGAGAGCTCAGGTGGGTGCCCCAAAAGATATCATTTCCCCACCCCAAATTTCTTTGGACTTTTTTCCTTGCAGATAGCATTGTCCATATACATGACGGATTGCGTCTCTTATTTATTTATTGGTTCGATTTATATGCCGCCCTTTTCCGGAGACTTAGAGAGTCCTGGAACCGAGATATCCTTTGCCGATATTCCTCTCCGGGAAGTGCTATGACTGTAAATCCTGTATATCTTGGAACTGATAGTGTAAACATTTCAATTAAAATCAATTAAGTTCTGACATTTGGAAATGGGCCAGAATTAAGTTCTGGCATGGAGCAAAATCTCCCGCTCCCCCCAAAACAACTTCCCAAATTTGATGCTAAAAGAAAAAGGGGTAGGAAATGCTTTATTCCAGGGGTCTCCAACCTTGGCAACTTTAAGCCTGGCGGACTTCAACTCCCAGAATTCTGGGAGTTGAAGTCTGGCAACAAAGCTGGCTGGGGAATTCTGGGAGTTGAAGTCCTGCAGCAAAGCTGGCTGGGGAATTCTGGGAATTGAAGTCCGACAGCAAAGCTAGCTAGGGAATTCTGGGAGTTGAAGTCCTGCAGCA